AAGTTAAAGCAAAAGCAAGGCGCATGCCATTAAAGTAAAGAAATGGAGCAGGCCGAAGGCAGGCAGGCAGGCAATAGAGAAAAGAGGAGAAAAAGTGACATTTGTAGGAAAGAAACTTTTGTCGTTCATGACGGCGGAAACACATGCAGTGTTGTTGCTGTGGATTAGCATTTAGCTATATTACTAGAAATTAGCAGCACCACAAATGCAAATGCGCGACAAACACAAAAGTAAGCTCTCTCACTCACTTCAATAATCATGCATGCTTCCGCATTTTAATCAAGACGTGACATTCCAACAAGCTTTTACTTGCCACTTGCTCTCAACTCCGTTTTCCGAAAGAAGAAAACAAATAATAAAAATTTAACAAAGCAGAAACAATTAGAAGACGATGGGAAGACGATGTGTCCAATTTTTTTTTTTCTTCTAATCTCGTAGGTATTACCATAACCAAACAAGGGGAAGCGGCTTCAGATCATTTCAAAGTGGGAAAGCTATGGGACAATTTGTCCTATCCTATCCTATTCTATCCGTCTCGATCATATCCTTCCCACTTTGGATCTCTCAAAGTCACATTTCCAAGTCCAATCTTAAATTCCTCAGTGCGTGCGGCCAACCTTAATCTCTGATCCATCTAATAATTGCTTTGATTAATTCCTGGATGTCACTACACCCTCCCTAGGCACTAACTTGAAGAACATATCCATTTTGAAAATAACATGCAAACAAAAATTTTAATTCCCTTGTCCGATATGTATCTTCCTACATCGTCGTTTTAAAAATTACTGTATCTGCAACTTTCAATCTGAAAATCATATACTACTACTTAAACAAAATGTCGAAAGAAAAGGCCAAAATAAAAAGAAGTCTCGCAATAAATCAACTACTAGCACTCGAATTAAGGCCGGCCTAACTACAATCATTTGAAAACATCATGCACCTAAGTAGAATTTCATTGGATTTTCAAGCGAATTCAATGTTAGACATTACATAATAATTACATATCAAGAAAAAGTTAAAAGTCCAATTCCATAATTAAATTTGTAATTTTATATAATTCCAGTTTTTATACTATCAACTAGTATATATTGTCTTTATGTACAAACTCTATTACACTAACCAGTTAATTAACCACATTAGGCTCATAATTAATTTAGTTAACTGTACGTACTTTCATATATATATATATATATATATATATATAATCTAGAAGCTTAAGAGAAAGAACCAAAGTTGACAAATCTTGATACAGAAACATAGCACATGCCAGATATTGGATATATGAGTCATTATGTTGGTCTTGGATCAAGTTCCAGATTCCATGAACTTCGTCTTTTCTTGCCCTATTTACTCTCTCTTTCTAATCCAAACTTCATTATAACTCTTAATTTCCAATATGGTTTCCCCATAAATGTGCTAGATTTTCAGTGCATGAATGGTTGCAAAGAGAATACCCAAATTTCTGAGACATTCCTTAAGGTATTTGGTGCACATGCCATGTTTTATCAACTTATTGCTACTGGACGTGTATTCCATTAGATTCCCTTTGGCCTTTTCTGGATTCTTTTCCCAACGAATTTATATTACAACATAAAAATATCTCCTATTTGCTGCGAGTTTGTGCCAAAAGATTTGGGTTTGCCTGAAACAGTTTTTTACCTTTACATTTACATAACTGTTCATGCCGAGCTGTCTTGATAAAAGCAAGAACATGAAAGTCATAAAGTAAGAGGTCGGTTAGTAACAAAAGTTGAAGATTTTTTTGTGTTTATATTCCAACACTTAAATCATTACTTGGAAAAATATAAAAGCATGGAAATCTTAAGAAGAGAGAGAAAAAAAATTGAATAAATAATACTTAAATAAAAAGAGTTATTTATATCTATAAAATGAGAGTGTTGAGTTTAGGTGATTTGAGTTTTGAGTATCGTATTTAAAGCTGACAATATTGATCTCACCTTATATGATAGCCAAGAGTCCAATTAGGAGATGATAAGCCATCATTTCTATATATGCCTTTAGATTAAAAATTGAGATGATCGAGTTGAAGTAAATACTAAATTTTTAAATCGGCTTGACACATAAGTTCGGATCAAAATGATAAAATTACTTTTACTTCGTTAATAAGACAACTTTTGAAAAAAAAAATTTATAATATACTTATGACCATAAAATACCCCTAGTAATTATCATAGTTTATACATACACATTTTTTTTTTTATGTTCTTTTTCATACTTCCTTTCGTCCATCCAATCACATATGAAGTCTTAGAGTAGCCCATGATTTAGTAATCTGCATTATCTTTAGTTAGGTCAAGTGATAATATTGTGAAAAGATGCCACTTTAATTATTTGAGAATTGTCAAGAAAGATTAGGTTTCATTTGAGTGTGAATTGTCAAAGCAAGTTTACATCCAAGATTATTTGAACTAATTAAATGTGTCCAAAACTCCAAATTCAATAAAAGTGGAGATAATGTAAATTTAAAACTTTTCATTAAAATAAAAGATAAAAGTATATATGTTGGTTTTTTTGCTGAATTAAATATCAAAGATGACGAAACTATAATGGTCGATCTGTAGGTCTCAAAAAAAAAAAAGCTTTGAAGTTTGAACGTAATTTCCGGTGCCAATGGGGATCCACTGGCACTGGTGAACCGCACGAGTAGAAAAGAAAAAATTTTAAGGATAATCAGCAAAAGGGCCCCTTCAAGATTTTCATCTTAGATCACTGATTTCGATCCAAGGATTTTTTTTTTCTATACTTGGACCCACAATTGAAACGCCTTCAACAATTATGTAGAACTCATTTTGATTGTTTCCCTTTTTGGAAAGACAAACAGCTACTGATCTGTAAATGGGCTATATATATAGATAACTTTAATGGCAACTTTAATTTTAGTAAACTAAGGTTGGACTACTTCATTTGAACTATATTGGCCGACCTTGTCTTTGATTAAGTTTAGATTCTTTTATTACAACTTTTTTTTTATCTATTGCTAATCACGCCTTTGTAGAAAAATTCAAACATGGGAATTGAACCATCCACATATATATGTTAATTTAATCATTCATTGAACATCATATTCCCCTAATTTTCTTCCCAAAAAAATATATAAAATACTATAAAATATAAAATAAACTAAGCATTATACCTTTGAAGGTTCTTAAAATAGTAGGATAATTCGTTTTCAAAGTGAATACAAACATCAAGTATCCTGTTGGTTTAATGGACTATCGAACTTCACCAAATGAGGCATCTTTTGGCAGATCGATAATGATGAACTTCACGTAAAAGACGAAAGAGATTTCCGGCTGCTACAATAATTTTGCACTCAGATGTTTACAGGAAGCAAAAAAGTTTGTATTTGATGCAAATCGAACGAACCCCATTGAGTCCAAATAAAATAGGCCTTTTTTTTCCCTGTTCAAACTGGTACTCTGCATGTTTCAAGAAAACATCCACTTCAAAACTAACTGATTATGATCGATCAGAATCATATGCTTTCCTCCTTTTATGTTTATCTACAATGTTCATAATGTTTTCCAATTGAGCTGGTGCTTATCCAAGTTGATGCCTAGTTGCCCACTTTCCCTGTTGGGATGGGCCCTGTTCATCCCACGTCTGTGGCATGCAAGTAGTTTACGTTATCAAAATTTCATGTTCCGCCCTGAGATTATGACCCTGCTTATTCCTCTGGTCTTTGTTTCTTTCACCTTTTTGTTCCTCTTTAGTCCTTTTCACACGCAAATCAATGCCTGAATGCATTAACCTTGAGGTTGAATTATCAACTTTAGTTTCTTGATTGATGTTTTCTGATTCATGAACAAGAAAGCAGCCCCAAGCAGCCCCAGTTGCTTTTTTTTTACGGCACTCACAGAAGAATCTGAAGTTCTGAAGCTCAGCTGAATTAGATTAAGCCCATTTAGAATTCAGGCGCTCAACTAGGTTGGAGAGTTTGCTAAAACCAAAGGGCACGCTGCCTTCAAACTATAAACCATATGCACTCTCTCAACTAGTCACGGTCGCTAATCAGGAGTCAGGATCGTCGATTGTATTATAAATGGACGGTCCATTTAGACCAGAAAAGACAGGTTACAGAAATGAAGGAAGAAAGGTTTTTGCCAACGTTTCCAATCAATGTTGGAGCCATGTTATTAGAATTTCATGTTCTCCTGTGTGTGCTTGTTCCGTTCCGTCTGGTCTCTTTCGCAGCCTGAACGCACTCGGTTGAACAGCCAACTTCGGTTTCTCGATGTCTTGCTAGTTTCCCAAGTGCTAGTTGCTTTTCACAGTTAGAACTTAGCGAGCTAGGCACTGGCCTGGTCCAAGGGCTCAAACTATCCATCTTTGACTCTGGAGATATAGACCTTTACACTGGCATATTGGGTGATTGTTTAAACAAGCCAATATTTTTTAGTGCTGATTAAGCCCATTGAAGCAGGTTGAGCCTGCTTGAAGGATTGGCTATAACAAAGGTCCAAATCTATGCATCCATAGCATACAATATAATGAGTTCGATAGGTTTTGGACACTGAATGTTCTCTCTGAGGACTTCGTTTTGAGCCCATTGAAGTAGTTTATTGATATAGCATATTGTTTTTGTTGAAAAAGTTTGATCACAACCTAAATTTGGATGAGCGGTTAGCTTTCACAAGAAACATGTTTTAAAGTAAGATATTAACCTTGTTAATTTTAGCTATGACTTGTGGGTTGTGAGGGATATATGATGTATGCACGTTGTAATACTAATTCCATAAATATATAAATGTTACTACATGTATATGCCTCAACTCTTAATCAGATGGTCACATTCACAGACACCATTAATTATTATTCACATGCCCTGTAGAGTACCAAAGAATCTACATGCTTTGGAGGAAACAGGAAAATAAATCCTAACCTTTTCATTGCTATATATAGCATCCAAGAAATTGATTTAAAATTAAACAGTAATTACCGTATTTTTGGCAAACAAATTGGCAAAAGAAGAGTGGAAATAATAGTAGCATATTGGGAAAAAACCATAATAAGACTTTCAAATTTTAAGTAAGCAGTGATATAGAATAGAATATCCCTTTCCTGTAATAAAGTAAATTCCCTTATCAGCATCATCCTCTAATATCTGATGATATCCAGGCCCCATCACCATCATCATCATCATCATCATCCGTTCACCATCACCATCATCATAATAATCGTCGGGGAGGGAAGAGGGTAGACTGACTGATCCTTAGAAAATGTCAAGAATCTCGAGGATTGAACGGTTGCAGAGGGGACAAGACCCTCGATTCAACCACAGTTCCCTCGAACACACCCTGCAAAAAGTGTGTCCACATGGGATAAACGCCGCACCTTTCTTCCTCCCCATGCACACGCAGCACATTGAATCACTCCCCATCTCCACGCAACCTTTCTCCTCCTCCTCCTCGCCGCAGCCGTCAGCTTCCTCCAACAACCTCATCAATGACACCCTAAGTGGCGTCCCGGGCGATCTAATCCGCTCATTACTTGTCGGCCCTACGTTACCTTCCTCCGTTTCTTGCGCTGCCCGAAAACGTCGCTCGGCTGCTAAAGCCGCGGCCAGATTCATAGCTGATGAAACCGGAGCCGGATTAACGCAATCTGGATCCGGATTATAATCCGAATTCGTTGCTTCTACTCGTTCCTGTTGTTGCTCTTGTTCTTCAACCTCAACTTCATCGTCTTCTCTGACGCTCATGGTCGTTGACCCGAAACCCCAGGTGGCTCCACAACAGCCCATGACTTTAAATCCTAGCCTTTCTTTGAAACTCCTCCTCCTTTCTCTATCTACACTGTCCATTTCTTCTGTCTGAAATGTTAGGATTGTTCTTGCTTTCCTCTCCGTCTGCAACGATTCCTGCAATATCACACTGAGTTGACTCATTTTGTTTAACCCGAATATTGCAAATGCAAATACAAAGCAAACCCAGAAAACAACTAGCTAGGTAGAATAGAAGAACGAATTTAAACAAAGGAAAAGAGTGTGAAGATGGTTAAGAAGGAGGCATACAGCAGGCGATGGATATCCCGTGAGTTTATCACTTGAAACAAACAATAAAGAGAATCCCACCTCTGGCGTTGATTCACAGCAGTGAAAATGACAGAACAAAACAAAATGGCTTCTAAAAAAACCTGCTTTTGCAAAGCATAGAGCGTGATAAATAGCAGTAGTACTTCATAATCATAGCCTCTCCTTCGTCATTGAAAAAGATTTTCCTTTTCAAGTTTCAGTAGGAAAGGACGAGGACAAAATAGAAGAAGAGCAAGCATGCAAAAGAAAGAAAGAAAAGGAGGGTGCTTGGGAATGGACATTGAAGGGGTTCCTTATGAATGGCTTTTCTTGGAGTTGGAGCAAAAGATCAGAACTTTGGGGGGGAGGGGTGCTTAATTTTGGATTATTGATTATTGATGTTAATTGGTGAGGGCAGGGTTTAATTACTGAGATTAGTAGTAATAGTACTAATTTTGATGAATAAATGAATGAATTAGTTAAACTTAAAATGTGAGGTTTTTGTTTTGTAGTAATTACGACAACGTGTTTGCGGCCAAAAGGGTCGCTGAAGCCGGCGCGGCAACCGGGTCTCCCCTTGCCAAGTATTTTGTTTTGCATGTAAATACCTTGTTCTTTCGTTTTCCTTTTGTTTTGTTTTGTTTTTCTTTTTTGTAAATAAATACCTTTCTTGTTCTAAGTCTTTAATGAAAATTCTCATTAAAGCTAAAGCCATAAAAGGCTCGAGCTTAATTCGCTTGAGTTGTAGAAAAAGTTTTGATAGGGATGCAAGTGATCTTCCCTCCACTCTTTGAATTATAATAATTTTTATATTTTAAAAGTCCAAACCCTCTCTCTAGATATAGATATACAATGCAGCAATAATCTATCAGTTTGTAATCAGGTGAAGCTCATATGAGCTGTCAGCTGTGCTAATCCTCTTCTCCTGTGAGATTCAAACTTCATATCATCGTCCTAATCATTATTAACCAAACAGTAATAATGAGAATTTTGGTTATAAAATTCAAATTCTTGTCCCCTAAATATAGTCAAATCTACTATCTTTTTATTACTTTCAAGTCAATTAAAAGAAACATAGATTGGTCCATCAATTTCAAAGCAACTATGCAGCTAGCCTCCACATGGACGCCACCAACATAAAGATACAAAGGCATCTATCTCCCTTACCTCACCGACCTTAGATATGGCCCACTATCAGAGTATAATATAAATTTAAATGCCCTCATGCTGCATATGATCGATCAGGCTGTGCCACCTTGGGAAAGAGCTCTCAATCCCAAGTTCTTTCTTCCTTTCCATTACAAATCTAAGTCATCAAACTAGATTTTAATAATTTTCATTCTAAGCAGGCCAATGAAACAAGTCAAGCATGCATGACTTTCATTTGTCTTTAAACATTTATAATTTGTCTCATCTGATTAGTATTAATAACTTGATATTTCACATGTGTACCAATCAGGAAAAAGGAAAAACCAAAAAGCAGTAAAATTTACAGACGAATTTCATATTCTGCCATGAGTGTTCCACATGGATTATTCCATTACCTTGATGAGAAGAAAACTCAAATGTTTTCCAATTAGAAAATTAGAATCTTCAATTTACCGTCAACCCCACAGAAATTTAACTTGTTTGTTGTCATCTTTATTCTCTAATCTTTCAATATTTACCATTAGCATATTGCTACTGCAGAACCCATGTGATTAGTGAGACAGATCTTCTGCGTTGACTGGACTGTTTACAAGGAACCAATCAAGCTAAAAGCTGCAACTTTCCTGATCCCCGCTTCTACCATTGCTTTCCTCAAGTCAGCTGCACGATCTCATCTCTCCTTATCAGCATTTATATGCTACACTATGCTAGCTACAATGTTGTGGCTGCAAAACTGAAGCATCAGCTTAAAATGGCAGTCATTAAAACCCAGTTGCATCAGTCAAAAGGCCTGTTCTATCCAAAAGATCTACCATACACCCATAGTTTTCCATTATTGGCACAATGCCATATTAACACGACATTCATTGAAAGAATTCTGAACCCAAATCCACTCTCTTGGAACCAGCACAAGCCGTAAGAACTGCAACTAATATAACCTCATTCGGACACACTTCCCCCACCTTCATCTTCTCAAACAAGTCCAAAGCCTCCTTTTCTCTGCCATTACATGCAAGCGAAGTATAAGTGAACAACGAAATGGCTTTATGTATGAGATAGGTTCTTATGAAGGAGTTGTAAAGGAGGCTGGTTTTCGATTTTGAAGTAGTATATGAAACCTTACAGGCGTTGTAATGCCGGCCGTTTCATGCTTATATAGTTTGGGGGAGGGTTGAAGAACAAAAGCCAAAATGGACCAAGGTAAGATGAATCATTGGGTCTTATGGCCCTTTTGGTATGTGCTAGTGAGGCCACCAGCAAGGTACTATTGCACCAATCCTATGGGCTATGGCCACATTTTTCTCCATCCATAGTTGCATATTTGCATTAAAAATTTATATGCTTCGGTCATCAAAAAAATCTGTGGCTTGATTTCTGAATTGATCGGTTATGAAAAACCACATCCACGTATTTTTATACATAGATGATTTATTCTGCTTCATGATGCGTAGGGTTTTCAACATAACCAATATCAGTAGTGGAAATGGCTTAAGAGATATTTTAGAAATAGAAGCTTACGGAGTTGGCTCAGAAGCCAATTAAGGCAATAACTTGCCCATGCTATCTGCCCTAACACACGGTTACTAAATTCGATTAGGATACCAAATCGGCAAATCCTTCCCTGCCTGACACTGCCTGCGTACGTGTCAAAAAACATGGATAGTATCTATGCAAAACAAACATAGATCGAGGATAAAATGGTCATTTACCATTGTTTTGGACAACTGTATAGGAAGTACACCTATGCTTTCTTGTTTTTGTCATCGTCTAATCTGTGTTGTTAATAGATATTAAGTCCCCCATCTTTCAGTCTGTGTTCACCAAGCCTCTGTTTCTCTGTAAATTTTACAACTTTAAAACCCAAAAACCATGGCTACACTTTCTCAATTGAATATCTTTCCATGCAAGGCCTTCCAAACAACTGTAAAACACAATAAGTTAACCTCAAAACCTTCAATTCTGCCTCTGAATTGTATCAAAACAACTCAGAGTTTGATCAACAAATCTCAATTTTTGACCAAACAATCAATCCCGGAAGGACCCGTTTTCCAGGTCCGTGCTGTGGAAGGTGAGGAATGGGTCCCAGACAAGGAGGAGGAGCCAGTAACAGAGAGTCTTGGAGTGGCAGTGGCAGAGGAGGAGAAGCCTAAAGAAGTGGTGGAAATCGAGGGCTTGAAGAGAGCTTTGGTAGATTCATTTTATGGGACTAATCGTGGCTTGACAGTTACGAGTGAGACGAGAGCTGAGATTGTTGAGCTTATAACTCAGCTGGAGGCCAAGAACCCAACTCCAGCACCAACTGAGGCTTTGCCCCTGCTCAATGGCAAATGGATTCTCGCGTAAGTTCTCTGTCTTGTTGCTAACAAAATGTTGGTAAAGAAACTAGAATTATGAGCTATTTTACCCATGGCTGATTGAACTTGGTTCATAGAATTATATGTAGCCTAGACTGCCTAGTTAGGCTATTGTTAAAAATACTCTCTCTCTCTCTCTCTCTCTCTCTCTCTCTCTCTCTCTCTCTCCATATATATATATATATATATATATATATATATATATGTCATCGCGGAGATAGGAAATTCGAAATTTTCTTCTTAAGTTTGGTTAATCATTTCTTTGTTGTTGAAGGCAAAATATATACGCAAATCGGTTATTTTGTTGATATTATGAACTCTAAGCTGTCAACACATCATGCAGCAACATGATCTGACCTCATAGGCCTTCTGCAATAACTGAAAAATGGTCATGGTAATCTTATGGTCTTTACTTTGTCTAGGTTAGGTTTCTTTTTAATATTCAATAGTTTGGACATCCTATTAGTATAAGATGTTCAATCAGCCTAATCCTTCTGCATCTTTACCTTTTAGCTGTGGAGTCGCCTCTATAACCAGTTCCTTCTAAGTCTAGTTGATCGACCACTTGGGTAACCGCAGTCTGATCTGTTCCTGAGTTGTGTGATATATGAGCAAAAGGCACTAAATAGGTACATAAAAGAGCTAAAAGAAAGATATAATGATCTGGTTTGTAAAATCATTGGTTCTCTTGGAATTTGCATGTGGTTTCCTGCATATGAAAGAAGCTAAAGAAAACTATGAAAAGATCAAAAAAAAAAAAAGCACAAGTGGTATAAGACTCTCTTATCGGGTGGGGCAATCTAATGCCGATGTGATTTTTTTTTTTTGATAAGTATTGTGTTCATTATCCAAGAAGCAGTAAACTGCTACAAAAAAAATGTACAGCTGTTCCAATATTTACATTTCAAACATATCCCATTACTCTTAACCTGACTACCTATTTGATTTGCTTTAAGTCTGTGCCAGTTTACTTTTGGCTGCCTTTGTCTTATTTCATCCCACACCTTAGCAACTAAATAACCTAACCCCTTGGTTTGCCATATCACTCCATTCTCCGTCTTCAACAAGAATCTAGTGGCAATACTTCTCATTTGCAGCGGCTTCCTCATACACCAACTTTAACTTTGTGCTATCTATATCCCCCATATGCTCTTCCCATTAAGAACATAGCGCTGCACTCATGCTATCCATAATGAGCCAGCTTGTGTGAAAATAGACCATAGCAATCTAAGCATGTAAGCTTTGTTCTAGTTTTCTACATCTTTTAGTCCTAAGCCCCTCTCAAACTTAGGCTTACACACTGTCTACCACTTTACCCTTGCTCCCTTAGCTGTATCTTCTTGAGCTTTCCATAAAAAAGCAAAGCATAGCTGATTAATCTTTTTAATGATCTTCTTAGGCAATATAATATGTCTACACCAATAATTGTGTGGGCTAAATATAACAAACCGAATCAACTGCATTCTACCAGCATAAGATAGATGCCTTGTTGCCCAGTTGTGTATTCTAGCTGTGATTTTTTCCATTAACGAGGTGCAATCTGTCATGGTGAGCTTGCGTGTGACTAGTGGCACTCCTAAATATCTGATCGGGAAAGAACGCAACTTAAAACCTGTTGCTTGTAAAATTTATTCTAGCTCTGCTCTTTGAATCCCCGAGCAAAATATCTCACTTTTTTTACAATTTGATTGAAGTCCAAAAAATGTGTAAAATAGCTATAAAACATTTTGGATACTGTATTGTTATTATTATATTATCATATTTTATTATAGTATCTTCTTCTTGTTGTTATTATTATTATTATTATTATTATTATTATTATTATTCTTTCCTTTTTTGCACAATTTGCATTTGAACAAAGGAAACCGAAATTGGAGGTCAACTAAATCCGAGAAATCCAATATGCATGATTAGTCAGAATCAAATTCAGGGGTTTTTTTGGACAAATTAGCAAAAACTTAGCCTAGAATCATGCTTGGGTAGAACTCAATCCCTCGATTCAAGCCTGGATTGGTTTTGTTCGATCCCTAGAATTTCTACTGAAAACAGCTTATAAATTGGACAGCTCTTAGAGAACATGCATGGTTGATTTTTGGGATCCGGGAATTGCTGAAAAAAATCTAGTTGTTGCAACTTTGGAAAAGGGTTTATGGGATTTTGATTTTAAATTTTCTGGAATTTTGGGTTTGGATTTGGACTTCTGAAGGTTAAGATTAAATTTCTGGAAAGGTTTTGAAGAAATCTGTAAAAATTTGGAAATTCTTGGGTGTTTTTGAAAAATGTGGGTTTTTGGGATGAACTTTGAATTTTCCGACAATGTTTGAATTTTTCGGTGAGAGAGAGTAGGGAACTTCTGAGAAAAAGCTGAGGAGTGTAGCTATTATAGTGTCCTAAAATGATGCTATTATGAAGATCCTAGACCTGTTCGTGACCCATTGACCAGTGTGTCGACCAGCACTCTGACCTAACCCAATCGCAGGTTTTTTTATTTTTATTTTATTTTTTGATTTTAATTTTTATTTATTTTATATTTTTAGTTTTTTTGTTTTATTTTCAATTTTTTATTTTATTTTACTGATTTTTATTATTTATTAAATATTTTGCGAAAATTCATTTTTATTTTTGGAAAACTAAATTAAAAAAAAAACCAAAAAAACAAAAAATCTTTTCAAATAAATTCATGAATCTTTCTAAACTATTGGAGAATTTTTATGGATTTAAATTTTATGAAATCCATAGAACTATTGAAAAATTTCATAAATAAATTTCAAAAAAATAAAAAAATAATTTTTGTCCTACTAGACTATTGGATGATTGCTTTCTAAATTAAGTCTTACCAAACTATTGGGAGACTTAATGAACTTTTTCAAAAGAATAAAATTTTTATAAATATTTTTAATAAAATCTTACAAAACTATTAGGAGATCTGCCTCAAAGTAAATCCTACCAAACTATTGGAGGGCTTTACTAAATTTTTTTGAATAAAATACATTAATAAATCCAATGACGGAGTCTGTTCATGGTGGGACACTAGTCTCCATGAATACTTTTGAGGTAAGAGAATTATCTTAAATTACTACCAAACTATTGGGGTGATTTTAAGATTAATTTTTAATTTTAACTATTTTGATAAAATATAAACATATTTAAGGCTTGGATATTTTGAAATCAAACTAGTACCATCATTTGAATGTGCGCTTTGGGGGTGCTATAACTTTTTTCACACGTAACCGTACTCTCGAACTTAAAATTTGGTTTCGTGGATCAAAATCTACTATTTAAAGATATCTAAATCAATATTGGGACTCTTTTTTAAATGGGATAAATTCGATGAGGTGACTAATCACATCTAAACAGAAAATATTGGTGGCGACTCCTCTAATCCATATCTAGCGGTAGGTCCACTGCTTATGACAGATGCTAAGAACAAAATTCAACTTCCCTTTTATGAATATTAGTAAATCATCCACGAAGCACAAATGTGTCAATTGTATCATCTTGTGCTTTGGATGATAGGAGAATATACCATATGAGCCTGCAATGTCCAGTAACCTTGATAGCACATTCATTACTATCATGAACAAGTATAGTGACATAGGATCCCTTTGTCTTACTCCCTTTGCACCTTTAAGTTATCCCACCAAACCTCCATTAATAGATAGAGAAAACATAGGTGAAGTGAGACAATTTTGATCCAGCCTACAAATCTTCTTGGAAAGCCATTACCTCAAGGCAGCAAGCAAAAACTCCCAGTGTATAGAATCAAAAACTTTCTTTAAATCTACCTTTATGGCACACCTTGGGGAAAGCATGGTTCTATTATACCCTTTCACTAATTCTTGAGCCAGCGGCACATTCTCGGTGATGCTTTTTCCTTTTATAAAAGCATTTTGGCTTCTGCTAATAAGATTTGGCAAGTACCTTTGCATTCTGCTTGCTAGTATTCGGGTTATACCTTTGTAGATAACAGAATAGCATGAAATTGACCTGTAATTTGAAGTGCTAGTTGGGCTTTGACATTTAGGTAGTAATGTTATTATAGTAGAGTTAAAGGTAGGTAACAATTCTTGAATGTTGAAGAAGTACATTATTGCTACTGTTACATCTCCTTCTACTATACTCCAAGCTAATATAAAGAATTGTGCATTATAACCATCTAGCCCTGGTGCCTTATCACTGTGCTGGCAGAGTATGGCTTCCTTTACCTCTTCTACAGTAACATCTTGGATAAGACTGTTTGTTGTTCTTCAATCAAGTAACCTTGAAGAATATCTGCAATTAACCCCTTCAAGCAGCCTTCAACTTTAGTATCCTTTGTTCCCAACAGTTTTCTGAAAAACCCCACAGCCTCTTTAGAAATCTGAAAGAATGTGACCAGCCCTCTATTTTCACTGTTATATAACACCCCAATAGTGCTACTTTTTTGCTTAATTGCCATCGTTTTATTGAAGAACCTTGTGTTTTGGTCCCTTTCTTGTATCCATTGGATCTTGGATTTTTGTTTCCATAGGCTCTTCTCATATTTCAACAAATTTTGAAGCTCTAGTAAAAGCCTCTTCTCCTTTTCAACATCAACACTTGATGGTTGCATTAGTGCTGCATCTGCACCTCTGCTAGTTCCTCTCTTTTTCTTTTAGTTTTCTCTGTCAAGTCACCAAACTATGTAAAATTTTACCTCTTTAGCTCCGGCTTTAATCTTTTTAACTTCTTGTGCAATATAATCATAGGTTTCCTAGTGGTTTGCACTTTCTATGACTCCTCTACTATCTTCAAAAAATCTAGATACCTTATCCAAAAATTGAAAAACTTGAATGGCTTTGGTAGGAACTGCCTTGGGACGTTCAACTTAATCAAAGTTGGGCAATGGTCTGAAACTTTAGGTGGAAGGAATTCAACTATCAAGTTTGGCCATTGTAAAAGCCATGCATCATTTATTAGAACTCTATCCAACTTTCTAGATAGTCTATGGTTACTCCACGTGAATAACAGCCCCGTGTATGAGTGATCCAATACAGCTAGCTTCTGAATACACTCCTGTAATTCTTTAGTACTTGAGCTTGCTATCTGGGAGCCATTATAGTAAGAACTTTCCATATGATGGGCTATCACATTGAAATCTCATGCTAATATCCTTGAGCTGCTATCAACTACACTTTGGAGTGAGATCAAATCTGTCCGTAATCTCCTTCATTCTCCCTCACCGTTGTATCCATAAATGGCAGTGAGATATATCACTTGTGTCCCATACATGATTTTATAAGTGATTCTTTGCTCACTGTCTGTGACTTAACTCCACATGCAATTCAGACTTCCATAGCAGCCATATTTGACCATAATAAGCTGTAGAGTAATTGCTGCAGGGAGATCAACCAGGAAAATGAGTTTTCAAGACTTGTAGCATATTTTTTTGCTTTATTCTAGTTTCTAACAAACATGGTACATCAACTTGAGCTCAGCTAATCCTACCTACAATCTCTTTTTGCTTCAGAGGAGCATTAAGCCCGCTTGACATTCCAACTAAGGATGTTCATAAGGAAAGAGAAGAAGAGGATATAACTCTTAAGGTGGATAGATCAACCTTGACTTTTTTTCCCCTTTATCAATAGGTCCTCGTTTCTTATTCTTCAATTGCTTCATTAAGTCTGCAACTCCAGCTGATGCTGCCCTTTCTTTCCTTGGTGAGTTGATAACTGGCTCAATTTTCTTTGTCTCTTAAGATTCTGCCTTTGCCAGGTCCACTTGAGCATCATCATTCATTTTATCATTCTCAACTATTGTTTCCAATAGAGCAAATCTGTTTGCTAAAGCGGAATGCACAACTTGTTATGCCTCAATTCTGGCATTTTCCAATGCAACCACCTACTTTTCTTCTTTTCTGAATTCCTTCATTGGTTTATTATTTTGTTTCTTTGGCTGCCACACCTTTGTTTTTGTAGCAATTAGCTTATTCATACAAACTTTATCTGAATGCCTAAATATATAGCAGCATTGACACCATGGAGGCATCCATGGTACCTCTACCAATATTAAAACAAGTGTTCCATTTCCTAGCATCACATTTATGAATCAAGGGACCTCAATATTTGCCTCCGTCTCCACACTAATCTTTGCATAAGCTAGCCTCTCACAATTTGCTGTAATTTTATCCATGTACAATGGTACACCAATGGCACTCACTATATAGCATAGCCCTTTCTTTGTGTATAGCTCCAATGACACATTATTCAAATGTATCCAAACAGGTAACCTGTTCATTTGAAACTCCAAACTTTTCATCTCTCGTTCCTATTTCCAAACTATAATAGGCTTGTTCTGAATATGCCAAGACCTTGATTCTAGTACTGTATCACAATCCAGCTCAGAAGAGAATTGTAATAAGAACAAGTTATTCCCTGTTGGTTTGATCATAACCATTCCTTCTTTTCTCCGCAAGATACTAACTAGTCACTGAAATTGGTTAAACTTAGGTGCCTTACCAATAAATTGAGCCACCAGTGAGTTTCGCCATTGATGCACTCCTTCTTCAAAAACATTATACGATGGCTTTATCAAGATTTTTTCATTTTCCTTCTATGGGGGAAAAAATTACAGCAATTGATTTTTCGACATCGAGAAAAGATTTCTCCAATCTACAGCTATCTTTTGTTCAAAAGCTCCATCTGTGAGGCCTGCATTGCTAGTATTTGATGATCCTTCCATGTCTACCCCCTAAATTGACAAAATGATAATGGTAAGAAAATGAGCTGTTCGGCAAGAAAATAAGTGGTTCAACGAGAAAATTGGTAGTTAAAAAAGAAAATTGATAGTTTAAAATGAAGAAGATGATGGTTGGGTGAGAAAATCTTCAACACAAGAGAGACCCACTCATGTGAGTTGAGAGAATTTTCCCTATCCCCTCTATCTATATTTTTTATCTCTACTTGCTTCTCTTTTGCTATCTCCTTTTAGGGCTTGTTCTTTGTAAAAGTGTGAAGTTTGGACTGAAGTAAAAAATAATGCCGATGTGATTTGTTATGGATCTGCCCTTCAGTTTGTTTTATACATCCAAAAAGAAGTTGTTGAAAGATTGCTTTCAGGAATAACATTATATTTGGAGAAATTAAATGAAGAGAAGCTTGAGGGTGTATTTGTTGCTTCTTAAATGAACTGATGTTAATAGAAGTTCATGTTGCTACTTGATAGGAATTGCTTGTTGGGATTTGCTTTGAATCTCATAATCCCACATCGAAAGTTATAAGAATTTTGAGTTTATTTTGTATCACACATCGAGAGTTTAGTAAAGGTATAAGGGGTTTTACCTTTGTAAATGAGATGTTTTGGTTTTAGTTTAGTAATCCAATATAGTTAGATACCAAGAGAATAGCTAGGTGAGTAGGTTATTAAAATGGTGTAATTGGATTTTGGGTTAAGTTTTAAGTAATGAGTTTTTGGTAACTTTTCTTATTCCAAAAGTCCCTCAATTGTAAAGATTTATTTGATAGTGGATTAAGATTTATTTGATAGTGGATTAAGTTTGGAGTAGGCTACTTTGAGTTGAGCCAAAACAAATATATTTGTGTGTTCTTATTCTTGATTTGAGCTTGCTAGTTTGTTTGTGGGTGCTAAGTATGTGTATTGATTTTCCAACAAGTGGTACTATAGTAAGGTTCGTAGGAAAGAGATCATGAAGCAAGTGTTTCAAGATATCTGAAGAAAGTTGACAAAGTACGATTCAAGATCTCTTAGTATAATACGAGTTGGATCAGCATTAGAAAGTAGTAAGTCTGAGGAAATGTCTGACGGTAATTGAAATAGAATTTAGAAGAAAGCTATTAGTACTATTAGATTGGTGCTAGTGCCAGAGGTAAAGTATAGTGTGTTGATTGAGAGTATTCTGAAGAGTTTATGGGATAAGCTTGAGGGTATTTACACTCTAACAGATTATGTTTGAAGATGGATCTGTATTATCTGAAGATGAAAGAAGGTACGAATCTTTATAATCACTTGAATGAGTTTAATAGATTGGTTTCTCAATTGTTGGTAGTTTCTGTTGATGAGTTAGAAGATGAAGAGAAGTCTTTAATTTTGCTATCATCTTTGCCCAAGTCTTATGGACCTTTAATTTAGACTTTGTTGGTGAGCAGGTCTACTTTGAAGTTGGATGATGTCATTGCCCCTGTTGCCTGAGAACGAAAGGTTTATGGGAACACAAAACTCATCACTTGGAGGGAATACACTAGCTGTAGAGAGTTTTGATTGAAGGAGGACTCAAAAGAGGATTGATGAATCAAGAGGGAGATCCAAGTCAACAGACAGAGATTACAGTGACATAGAATATTATTATTGTGGTGAAAAAGGACATATCTAAGTGTGCTGCAAGAAACTGAGAAGGGATATGGCTGCTTTCAAAAGGGCGAATGATGAGGAGAAATCGGATGAAGGAAAGAGTGATATTGTTGTTGTTGTGTCTGATGATGATGATGATGTCATTTTGACGACTTGTGTGGATGAAACTCAGATTTTGAAAGTTGATAAAAGTTGGATTTTAGATTCAGCTACTGCGATTCATATTTGCAATGATAGGAATTGCTTTATAGAGTTGGATGAGAACGAAAAGTATGAAGATATTGTGGTTGTTAACAACGAAAAGGTGTAGATTCAAAGCATTAGGAGTGCTTGCCTTAGATCTCATCACGGTGTTGTTAGGATGCTTCATCATGTAAGGTATGTACCGAGTTGTAGCTACAATTTAATTGTTTTGGGTGAGTTAGCTTTTTGGAGGTACAAATACTATGGTAGTAATGATTCATTGAAAGTGTACAAGAAATGATTCATTGAAAGTGTACAAGAATGGTAGTGTGATTCTACAAGGGAATAGAGTCAAAATGGAGGCTCAGTTGTTGGGATTCTTGTGATTAAAGAAAAGAATAAAGGCAAGCGCGTCAACTTTGTTGATACTGTTGAAGTATTTGGAGATTCAAGTCAAGGGAGGATTTGTTGGGATTTACCTTGAATCTCATAATCCCATATCGAAAGTTATAAGAGTTTTGAATTTATCTTATATCTCACGTCGGGAGTTTAGTAAAGGTACAAGGGGTTTCACCTTTATAAATAAGATGTTTTGCTTTTAGTTTGGTAATCCTAGATAGTTAGATACCAAGAGAATAGCTAGGTGAGTAAGCTATTAAAAGAGTGTAATTGGGTTTTGGGTTAAAACTGTAATTGGGTTTTAGGAGTTTTTTATGACTTTTCTCATTCCAAAAGTCTCTCAATTGTAAAGATTTATTTGATAGTGGATTAGGTTTGGAGTAGGTCATTTTGAGTTAGTCGAAACAAATATATTATGTGTTTTTATTCTTGATTTGAGCTTGTGATTTTGTTTGAGTGCTGTGTATGTGTGTTGATTTCCCAACATTGCTTTCATAATGTTTTCATCAAACTTAGCTTTTCTCCTTTATTTGTTGCATTCCTCGGGAAGCTGCTTGGAAGTAACCATAAAGTACGATGTCAATATTGATTTTTGTTACCGATTATTAATAAGTCATGTTGCTATTACTATCTAGTCTCACCATATGATAGTTTAACAAAGTGGTTTAGTGGGTTTTGAAATGGATCAGAGAATAAAATTCCAGTTATACCACTAAGCAGCTTGTTTAATTCTTTCATGAGGCAATAGTGCATATTGATATTTGATATACTATATTGTGGTACAGGTACACATCTTTCCCAGGTCTGTTTCCATTGTTGTCAAGGGGTCAATTGCCATTAGTAAAGGTGGAGGAAATATCACAGACCATTGATGCTGAAAGTTTCACTGTGCAGAACTCTGTTCAGTTCTCTGGACCATTAGCCTCAAGTTCTATTAGCACAAATGCTAAGTTTGAGGTCCGAAGCCCCAAGCGAGTGCAGGTATGTTGCTTGGCTCACTTTTCTTCTGTTAAACTGATTTTGAAGTTGTTCTGTCTCTCACATTCAGCATTTGGAATGTAACTAAACTTATCTGTGTATCCAAAACTCATACAAAATAATTTTTGCGTTATACTTTTTCCTTTTTGAATGTCCTGCAATAGTTTTAATGGGCAGCTGAAGTTTGTTTAATCATGACTATGTCGTTAGAAGAAACTGCTATGCTTGCTAATGCATTAAAGAAATTAAAGGTCTGGACGTAACCTAAAATTGCTTTTGTTTCTTTCTGTTCTGTGTAGATCAAGTTTCAAGAAGGCATAATTGGAACTCCCCAGCTGACAGACTCTATAGTCTTACCTGAAAATGTGGAATTTCTGGGACAAAAAATTGATCTCACTCCTATTAAAGGCTTGCTCACCTCTGTGCAAGACACGGCTTCCTCTGTTGCAAAGACAATTTCCAGCCAACCACCATTGAAGTTCTCGTTATCAAACAGCAATGCAGAATCATGGTTACTTACAACATATCTTGACGAAGAACTGCGAATTTCAAGAGGAGATGCTGGGAGTGTTTTTGTGCTCATCAAGGAGGGCAGTGCTCTCTTGACACCATGAACTAAACTTTAGATTCCTTTTCTTCTTTCTCCTTAGCTTTGCATCAGTCTTATCTATTCTCCTGGTTTCTGTTAGACTGATGTAAGAAAAATATGTAGGTAATAAACGGTCATGAAGTCTGTTTGTTTTAAGACTTGATTCTAAGTTGCTGTTCCAAAGTAAGGGAGAGTTGATATAATATTTTGAAGATATATATTTATCTTTTACTGAATGTTTGACTTTCATTCAATTAGAGCACCAAAGCGAACCTACGAAATTCTCTTTTCCCTTTCCATGTTTTCCCTTACGCCAGCCAAACACTTTAATTTTCTCTGACTTTTCCCAGGGCAGACACCCTTCATTGATGAATCAGTGAAAAAGCTTTGTGGTTTATTTTATGAGACATTCACGAGCCAGTTCTTAAGCCTCTTGAATTGAGCAAGTGCGTTGACATGGGAACATAGCAGACTGTGAAGAACTTTATTCCAATCATTCCAAGGCGAAGATATCAGGCAAGGACCTGCCCCGACTCTGCCTATATTTGTGATGGTTTATATGGTTAAGCACGAGTTATAAATCTCAGGATCCAAATTAATTCGGGATGCAAAGCAGTTCTGGCTTGTTCGCACATGTCCCCAAATAAGAAAATTCTGGTTCCCCACTTTTTTTTTTTTTTGAGATACGGTTCACCACTTACTAGTTTGATATATATAGTCAACTGCAGGAACATGTTCAGATATTAACTGGTATATTTCCTGGTGTAAAGAAAGAGGAATTCTGAAAATTCTCTGAAATTTTCCTTTAAAAAAAAAAAAAAAACCAGTGGTAATCACTCTATGCTTGGATTTTGGGGTGTGGGGAGTCAATTTATTTCATCCTTTTTACTAAAAATTACATCAAGCGAACAAAATATGGATCATTCTAATAGTATCAAGTGTGACTGCCAAAAACTATCGGTGCTTTTTGTTTCAAGATTCGAATGTGATTTTGTAGTAAATTGCATAGGCAGAAAATTGGTTCTGACAAATCCCTAAATGTTCCCTTCAAATGCAGTCTCGCAAAACAACAAATATCAACCAGCTTCTTCCCAAAACCTTTGCCCTAAGAACTCATCCGGTTACCCGCAGTAAGGGGTAGCAGAATTCTCTGAAATTACCATCGTCCTTCTCACATGTATGTATGCTGTTACATCTCAATCTGTGAGGAAAGCTAAAGCAGTAAATATGTTATCCTGCCAGGAAATGCATGGTTGTTGGGTCACTGCAAGTGCACTCTTTAAAACCAAATTCGATTAGCTTGTATAAGCAGGAATAATGTGCGAGGCAAGTTTGTCTAGTGCTTAACACGTGAGGAATGAATGATTAAGAACTGGGGAACTAACCAGCAGTCAAAGTAATTTCTTTCTTCATAATCATCAATTCGCATCATATTCTATATAACCGTCAAGATTTCTAACTCAAGTACTGATTAAGAACAGGGGAATATAGACTTGATCTCAAGCATATCTACCAGCATTTTCCACAAGCGTATATTCGGATTTTTTTTTTTGTCAAAATATATTGCCAAAGTGAGGCCTCATTTATAGGATGAAATGATTAGGTACATAAATACACATGGGCATAACCTGATTGAAGGCTGCAATCTCATTTGGCCTATCCGTCATGCCAGGAATGCAATGGGATGAACAGAAATCCATGCTGCGCGATCCATCATTTACCCAATCTAGGATGTCTCACGTTTACACAACAAAAAAAGGCATACGTCTTTATTTTTTAATGGCTTTCAAACCATTTGATCAAAACAAGGACAGAATATGGATATTCGTTCATCATGCGTCTTGCCCCGATGCTTCAGACCCAAATTCATAATTTTTCTTTAAAGGTTGAGACACTAGTCAGTTTTGGTTCAGTTAATCGTTTCAGATATCAGATTTTGAGTTTCTTTTGTTCCATTTTGGCATTGATGATCTTTGATTTCTTATTACCCTTATACCTATTGGAAACAGTGAATTTTGAAACTTTTGCAATCACTGGAAAGAGAACAAAACAATCTTGCTTTCTGAAGGATCAAAATCCCTCCCTTACTACATTTCATTACTACTTCAAGGCTCGGGCTTCCATATTATGGTCACGGTTGGCATGGCAACCTCTTATTGAAGATTTTATTTAATTTAGTTATAGAGCCCAGAGTCACAGAAAAACCTCTGCTGATGAGCTGAGTAGTCCTCCCATGCATTTTACATTGCTCATAATTGTTCCAGACTACTAGACCAATTTTCTGAGGAAAAAAATATCACATTGTTTTTCAATGGCATTTACAACATTAAAATAAATTAGTGCAAACCTCATGGAAAACTTCTAGTATAATCCCATGATACTCCTCAGAATTCATTGATATATAATAATTCAAGAGGCTGCGAAGGTCCTTGGGCTCTTGAATGCGGTTCGCCATAATCATCTCGACCATAGACTCTCTAAAATCTTCTCTTGGATCGTAAGAACATTTTTCCATGGCTACCATAACAACGAATTTTGTCCCTCCACTTCTGTGCCGCCTTCTTTCTATATGCCTCGTCTCCTGCCTTTCTCTGATCATCTGGTCTAGCCTCTCTTGAACCATGGCGTGTGCTAGGCTTGAAATGGATGCAAACCGATCAGAGTTGGAGCTTTCTGCTTCCTCCGAAGAAGAGACACTAAGCCTGCAATTGCAACACAAAGCTCTGCATCCTCTCTGTTGAAGCTTCAGCTTCTTGTGTTCTTTAGAAGGTTTCATCTTCAAGCATCGACATGAATCTTTGAAGGAAATTTTGTGCCAAAATATTCATTTATGCTCAATAGGCAAGTGGGTCACGTTAAGCATGATTGTGTTTTTAGTTTGAGTATTTGAGATGATCAATACGTAAAATATTAGGGGTGTTGCAAGGGTTAGATTGGAAGGAAATTGGGGAAGATTAGTATTGTTTATTGAGCTTTTGATCATGATGTGGACTAGTACATCTTTAATAGTACTACTCTTTATAGGTAGTGTTAGGTGGCCTGGTTTATCTAAGTTTTGTTAAAAAAGAAAGAAAGGGTCCATGAAGCCTTTAAATTTGGTCCTTTATTTTGAGTTTAGGCTACTAGCTTAAGAATTAAAGACAAATGGGAAAAAAATGTTTTGGTTGGCTTCACTCACATGCCTTGTGCAGTTCAGTTTTAGTGAGTACTAACTGAAACTTCAAAAACTTTAGAAAGCCAATGGCTGCTGCAGCTGCTGCTGCTGCTGCCATGAAAGAAGAGTTAAACATAAACTTGAGCAGATATTAAAGGGAATCTCCATTAAACTAAGCAGCATCCACTGGTTTGTATAAAGTTAGCCTCATATTTGAATTAATAAGAAAAGTTTCCAAGTCAAACTGTGAATGCATCCTTTGGAAGTCTTGCAGAAGGGCCAAAATCCAGCTATGGATACACTTAATAAATTAAAAGTTGAAGATGAAAGGAGGCACCAAGATGCAGTGACTAAATTACAGCAGAGGAACTACAGCAACCATATCAGTTAAAAACTATAATGATGCAACAGTCTGCTAGCAGAAAGTTTCTAATCAACTACCACAATCTAAAAATAAAACCTGATTAGCAATTGTGATGCACAATAAAAGAACTGCCCCATGAACGGGTCCAGGTATGTATCAAAGAAGTTTATTTTAAGAATTAATCATGTTCTTTGCTATTCCCTTGTTCTTAGCTACTTTTATTCCAACTCTTCTTTTAGGTTGCAAATGATTAGATGAAGTGAATTGAATTTCTTGTAATTTCGTTTTTCTTTATCTTGTTTTAGAGCCTAACACGCATTCTTGTTATTGCCTACCGGTTGCCTAATTGAATAATGGAGAAAATCCGACAAAGATTTGCATAGCTGGATGGAATCTCTTTTATGGATTATTCTTTATGTTTTAGACATAGAGGGAGATACGAAGATAAATAGAAGAAAAAATTTTATAAGAGGGGTAAGAATTGCTATTAAAAACTAGGAGTTTAGTAATGTGATAATCATTTGTGTGTATGATGATTTACTGACCTACTAGAAATTTATGAAGGAAAATGGAGCATTGTTCTCATTGTCTTGATTAACTAATTATTTAATATGGTACTTAAAAGGATTCCAAGTTGTTTAAGCACGCACATTGGCACATGTTGCTATGATGATCATCTGTTAAAGAAAACTTAAAAAAATAATTAGCCCAAGTCCTCTGCCCAGGCGTAATCAAAAGACAGGGTGTTCCTGACATTCTTGGGTTCTTTTGAGAAATCAGAGAACAGGTAAAAGAGAAGAATTGATGACTTGGGATGTTCTTCAAAATTATGGCTTTTGCAGAGTTCAGCAGTGTAGAAGTGCACCTATTAAGGACAGAAAAGTGCAGCAGCACGTTTTGGTCTTCAAGTTCGAGGGCTTAGCCTATCTACAAGACAGTGAGTTCTTTAGACTTTCCAGATTTGAGCACTTGTGGACATTTCAGGTTCCAGTTTGTCATGAGAAGCATATTATTTAGGTGTCCTTTAGTTTTCTGAACTGTCAGCATCAGGCTATGGGTCTCAGGGGAGGCATTTGTGCATTTCCTTTTTATTCTGACGTATTTGATTGTAATTTGATTTGATGGGGCTAAACTAGTCGCAGTAATTGTGTTTGATTACTATCATTGTATGCTTATGCATGGCATTGCGATTCATCATCAGAAGAACAAAAAAAGCATTCTAGTGACGTTTTCTGTATTACTGTCGTCCTGGATGTTGCTTTGCAAAACAGATGTGATCCTAAAATATGATGAACAGCATGTGCAGTTAAACTGAATTACCATTTTCAGTTGACTCCATTATTTAGCATTCTTCAACACATTGATGCATTACTCTTCATGAACGACATCATTCACTCTAGAATTAAGACGAACCCCAGTTCCACCATTAAGTTTCAAGACAGGAGAACTAGTAACACTGCTTAAAAGGCATAGCTCAATAGGAAAGGTTATCCAAACCATTTCTGTCTGTCTTACAGATATGTGGTCGTCCTTACAAGCACAACTTATCATTATCTTTTTGGGTTCACTTTGAGTTCGGAGACCGGCATTAGAAGTGGGTTTTGGACTGATTCTCCACAGTCCAATTCTCAGGCCCCAAGCTCGACCATCCTTAGATTAGATAAGGCCCAACATGGTGTTGGGCCCTGTCAAAACAATGGTCAAGAGAAGTCCATTTGGGGAACCCTGAAGTTGATGGTCCAATTGGTAAAACCAATATGTTACTCTTACGATACCAATGAATAGAATTCAACAATCAAATTACTACCTAACCCAATATGAAGGTTAGGTAAGGACAAAACCCACCATCCTCTCCTCTGTGCTCTAACTTTCCTCCTAACTGAAAGCTACTGTCTACTGGACAATGAAACTGCATTCTTCTTTGTCATTTCGTAAGTTAAATATAAATCCCCAAAATACTTTCGCAAGCGGAGTCTCCCAAGCGGCAAGCGCGGACTATAAATTACCTAAAAAGACCTTTTTACCCCTTTTAATTTGACTTAATAAGGACTGTGCCAGCTAGCTCTGGACATATCTTTATCGATTCACGCCGTCATTGCAAGTTGGTATAACCACCAAACCAAACTCACGAGTAAAAGAGATGTCCCCTTCTGTGGTCACTAACGGCGATGTCGCCGCCTTTACAATGGCTCCGGTTGCGGGACGTGTTGCCTCTGTTTACAGTGAGGTCCAAACAAGTCGTATCGACCACGCTCTTCCTCTCCCTTCAGTTCTCAGAAATCCCTTCAAAATCGTGGATGGTCCCCCCAGCTCCGCCGCCGGCAACCCTGGTTACTCCCTCTTCTCTATTCACTTCTCTTTTCATTTTTTTTTTCATTTTCTATCCAATGTCTTATTTATCTAAACCTTCATGCAAGTAAAGCAGTAGTCTTTGGCTCAGTTCACTGAACTGCAATTTTTCTCTTTTTTATAATACAAAAGAAGTTGAGTCTTTCAATGTGAATGTTTGTTTGTTGGCAGATGAAATCGCAAAGCTGTTTCCAAATCTTTTCGGGCAACCATCGGCAATGTTGGTGCCGAATGAAGCTGACTCTATCCGATCTGATCAGAAGCTGAAGATTGGCGTTGTTTTGTCCGGAGGACAGGCTCCTGGAGGTCACAATGTGCTTTCTGGAATTTTCGGTTAGTCTTTTTCTCAATTACATTGTTTCAATGGCAATGCATGTCGCTTTAGAATAATGCCATAATGGTATGAAATGCAACGCTGGAAGTAAAGTGTTGTTTCTTATTATTTGTTTGGGATGGTAGATTACTTGCAGGATCGCGCTAAAGGTAGCATTTTGTATGGATTTAGGGGAGGTCCTGCTGGGATAATGAAGTGCAAATACGTAGAATTGACTGCGGATTATATTTACCCTTACAGAAATCAGGTATTGTTTTGTGAGTTTTTATTTGGCTAATTATTTAGGCTTTATAGCAAAATGTTAGGAAGCAAATTTGTAAGTAGCAAAAGAAACAAGTAATAATGAAGCCTTAAGAATTAGCATGTTCCTGTTGTATGCGAACTATGCATGATCAGATGTTAATAGTGTTTGTTAATAACTACTGTTGCTGGGGATTTGCTTATTTATTAGTTGTAAATGATATAGGTGTGAGTATATATCATAAGTAGCTTCTGCTTAACATTGCTTCTTCTGGAGAAATGAAACAGTTTAAACAGTGTCGAAGAACTGCCACCTACATAAGGGTATAGGTTCATGTTATTGCCAATATTAGTCATTCAATGTTCTCTAATGTGAACATTAATTTTAGCTTTTCATTTATACATATATGTGAATGTGCTTACCCCTAAAACAGAGATCGCAACTGATTGCATTTCTTTATTTGTTTTAACCAGGGTGGCTTTGATATGATCTGTAGTGGGAGAGACAAGATCGAAACTCCTGAACAGGTAAGATTCTTTCCATAATTCATGCAAGTTATTGAGTTTTTATCAACTAATAGTGGCTAAGTAAAGTGGGTATTATTTTCAGTTTAAGCAAGCTGAAGAAACAGCAGTGAAGCTTGATTTAGATGGGCTTGTTGTTATTGGTGGGGATGACTCAAACACAAATGCTTGCCTTCTTGCGGAAAACTTTAGGTGCTGTTAGTTGAATTTTTTTATTGTTTAGATATGTAGCGGCTGATTGAAAGTATAGCTGATCTCTTCACTTCGCTGGTGTAATTTTGTTTCTTCAATTTGTCAATCAGGGGTAAAAATGTGAAAACTCGAGTGATTGGATGCCCAAAAACCATAGATGGTGATTTGAAATGCAAAGAAGTTCCAACAAGTTTTGGATTTGATACTGCTTGCAAGGTAAGGCAATACATGCATTGACATTTTACATTTCTAATTTATGCTATATTTCTTTATTCGATCATTTATTCAAGTATCTCTTAGATCCCCTTTTGTTGTACATGCCACTGTGGTTAGATGCGCACTCATGTTTGGTTACCTTCATATAGATATATGCTGAAATGATTGGAAATGTCATGATTGATGCACGATCTACTGGAAAATATTACCATTGTAAGTGATTGAAGCTTTCTAATTTCATGCAAAAGACTCATACTTGTGTGATGCACACAAAATTTACTACTTCTTAATCTATCTGTTCATTTACACCATTAAAGCACCTATCTACCTTTCAAAATATGGTTGGGGATAGAAACAGCTTCTCTGTCCCTATCTCTCCTGTTATTATTTATGATGGTAACAGTGTTCAATTCATCTGTCTTGCAGTTGTACGGCTCATGGGGCGTGCAGCTTCACACATTACTTTGGAGTGTGCTTTGCAGACTCACCCTAACATTACTATTATTGGAGAAGAGGTATTTTATTCCACTATTCTTAGCTCTCCAACAACTGTTTCTTGTCACCCATTAAGTTTGAAGAAGGTTTACATTTATATTGTTTTAGGACGTTTTCTGTGTTTAATAGCAATTATGCTCTGTATCCATGGAGACTTCGTAGTATTGGTTTAGATTTTTTACCAATTGTTGGCCAAAGTTTCTGCTGATACTTCATAAAAGCCCTCTGTACAAATTTGAAGTTGATCAGAGTATATGTTGCTGCAGGTTGCTGCCAAGAAGCTGACCCTGAAAAACGTTACAGACTACATTGTTGATGTCATTTGCAAACGTGCCGAACTTGATTACAACTATGGTGTTATTCTCATTCCCGAAGGTCTCATTGACTTCATTCCTGAGGTAATTTTGGTCATCAGCCAATTTATTTTATCAGATAGTATGTCCCTGTAATGGTTTAAGAATCAGGAAAAATATAGTTCTGCTATTTGCAAACATCTCCATAAGTGCGCTACTTCTTTACTGATATGTATCTGCTATTATGTGCTTCTAGGTCCAGCATCTTATTGCCGAACTAAATGAAATTCTGGCACATGATATTGTTGATGAAAATGGGCTATGGAAAAAGAAACTTACTGTTCAGTCTCTAAATCTTTTTGACTTCTTACCTCAAGCAATTCAAGAACAATTGATGCTTGAAAGAGATCCACATGGAAATGTTCAGGTATTTACTTTGTAATATGCTCCTCTGCTGATCTTTGTTTGCTGAGGCAATTGTTGGCTTTCAAGGTTTATTTGTCTGTCCTTTTTACCATTAGGTTGCCAAAATCGAAACAGAAAAAATGCTCATTCAAATGGTTGAAACTGAATTGGAGAATAGGAAGCAGAAAGGTTCTTATAAAGGCCACTTTAAAGGACAATCGCACTTTTTCGGGTACTTATTGCTCTGTCCATAAAGAAATATTATTTTAAATGGGGCTAAACCATAATGCTGCCTGACCTGACCTGACCCATAGAGTGTATTGTTATGGGGATCAATAACTTGATTGATGTTGACAGCATCTTTCCTTACCTGATTCTAATTTGCAGATATGAAGGAAGATGTGGTTTGCCAACTAACTTTGATGCCTCCTACTGCTATGCATTGGGCTATGCTGCTGGAGTTCTCCTTCACAGTGGAAAAACCGGGTTGATATCATCAGTTTGTTTTCCTCCCTTTCTCTGCCTCGGTGCATCTTGCCCCCTACCAACCCTTGTACCTTTGTAGTCCTTCTGGCTTGATGTTTATATTCCATTGTGCTTTTAAACTTAATGAGCTAATCATTTTGTTTATACATTTTGCTGTGTCTACAGGTAGGAAATTTGGATGCCCCTGTTGAAGAATGGACTGTTGGAGGGACTGCTTTGACATCATTAATGGATGTAGAGAGAAGGCATGGTAGAGTTGCTCTTCACTTCATCACATCAAACATTTGTTTCTTGTAGAACTTTGGTTTCTTATTTCCTTTGTCACTCTATGCGAGTGAAGAACACTCTTAGAATGCACTTGAGCTCCTCATATCTTGGGGTTAAATTTTCTATACTATTTACTTAATGGCACGGCATAGCGGTTTTTAATGAGTTGAATGTAATTCAGAAACGAAAATGTCGCTGTGTTACAGTGGTGAGCCATTGCAAGCCTTTCTCTACTGTAAATTAAACATGAAAATAATTTTCAGAAACCATCTTGATGACCATATATTCACTTTGGCCATTTGCCACCTTTATTCTCAGTAATTCCAGCACTTCATTAACATTAGAAATGTTTCGCAGGTAAATTCAAGCCTGTAATCAAGAAGGCAATGGTAGAACTGGAAGGTAAGATTTTGTTTTGACACATTTTTCGTTTTGTAGATGTTGTGTTTTATATGGTATTCTAGATCATGATGCTATTGTCGTCCTTCTTGGACCAACTTGAAACTAAGCCACAAGTTATTCATCCTGACGATTATTCAGGTGCACCATTCAAGAAATTTGCTTCCATGCGGGAGGAGTGGGCCCTAAAGAACTGCTATATTAGTCCTGGTTGGTTATGAACTCTTTATATGTCATCATTTTCTTCTCAGTTCCCTCCAATGCAGTTTTTAAAATGTGGTTATAATTTTTTATCTTTTTAACTCTATCCTCCATGGATATATTGGTTGCAGGTCCTATTCAATTTGTTGGGCCATCTTCCAATGCAGTTAACCACACTCTGCTTCTCGAACTTGGTGCTCAAGCTTAGAGTTATTGAATAAAAAATTGCTGCTTTAAGGATGAAATTAGTGATGTGTTGGATTTTGAAGCTCTAAGAACCAATAAGCTGTCGCACCTTCATTTTTCCTTCTGTTTTTATTGATTGATACATGGCAATTGATAATTGGCAATCAGTGTTTAAGACTTTGGACGTTTTAATTTAATGTCATTACGTCACAAAGGTACATGGGCCACAATTAGCCCAAAGAAGGGAAATAATACTAAGGACTTGACATCATATAAAAAGACAGAAGAAGATAATATGAGAACCTAACTAAAGCTAATGGACCCGTTAGAAGGGTGTCCGTGATAATGAGCAACATATGCTCATCATTATTTTTTGGAATCTGGGATATTTTCCTTAGAATTCCATGCTTTCTTCTTGACGTATCTGATTCTGTTCTTTGTTTGCTTCCCTGCTCAAACCCAACAAACCTGCTGCCATTGTCTTTTTGCACAAGAGCCATCGTATTAGTGGGACATTAGCCATCGAGTGCCTCATTTGCCAAACGACTAGGCTATGCATTAACTTAAACTTCCAGGGATTTTACTCCATATAAAGTAATCCATTAATATCCATGGATTCATGAACCTAGGATCCTCTTTCCACAGCTTTGGAATCTCCTTCCACTCATACTATTCTTCCATCCACCCTAGGCTGGCTATGCCACATCGTGCTTTTCATTAACCAATGAAATGTGGCAAACTGTCTCCTTAATCCTTACCCTGCCCACTACGCACTGAAGAGGATTCTTGATTGCATTTATGACCCCATCACGTGGAATGTGGAAACCAGTGGTAAAGAGTAGTCAAACTCGAATATTTATGATCCTTGTTACTTTTATCCAGCTTTGCAAAACGATGATCCAAACCATGCTAAAAGACAACAATGCAAATGCAAAATATCCTTGGCACATGCATGTATCCTCTAATTAAAAGACCGACTCACATATATGCCAATAGTGGCCAAAAACAAAAACATATATACCAACAGCCAAGGTACAATCAAAAATGGTTTTTCTTCCTTTGCCAAATAGAAAAAATTGAAGATATCACCCCAACCTAATACCACTCAAATTAAACGATTTAGAATGATGAGATTAAACATTCTGTTGTGTTGCTCTTACCATAAATGAAAAGCAAAAGAGAGAGAGAGAGAGAGAGAGAGATTAAGCATCTAATCTAGGGTCCTAAATAGTCTTTATCAAGATCTTTGCTTTCAGAATAGAAAAGTCAAATGGTAGAGTAGCCATTTCTATATAATAGCGGAGATTTGATCAATTCACATGGTGCATAATATTCCTTTTGCATGCACAAGAGAAAAAAAAAACGCAATTTTGGTTAAGCATATTAAATCATTCCAAAAGAAGCATTAAAAATTAGTAGTGATAGTTGATAAGCATCAAATCATAACAACCCAAAACAGAAGTTGAGCTAGAGACGATGATAAACCAAGCAAACGCCTTGGAAGTAATAGAAACTTTTAAATATACCCTTTTTTTTCTAGAGCTTTAAAGTAGGATTATTTCAAATTTTTCTTTACTACATCTTACAAGAAAAGAGCGTAGCCCAATGTCTAGTGCTATGAGCCCAATATGGTACAAAAATATCGTCCCTTGGTCCCATATGAATGCCATTACTATGGGACTTCTCGAGGGTACCTTGACAAACAGATAACTACTACGTTTTAGAAAACAAAAATATTAATTTTATTATTAATAAATGGTAAGTACAATACCGATGACCACAGCTGAAAATGATAGCAACGATTCAAAATAAATTGTGACATATAATAGAAAATTATTTACTGATTCAAATTCAAGCAATGGCGCAAGAGTTTCACTTCTGGCCAAAATATAAAAGAATAAAACAGTTGGTGTCAGTCACTAATAATTATTACGTTCGTGATTTGATGGTGGTTTGTTTTTTACAATATTTTCCATATTCCATATTCCATATTTTGGCTTTTACTCTTCTCCGGAGGAATCAACAGGACTACCATTTATACGTTTATCCCAATAACCAATCCTAGAAAACGACTCATAGTTTTGTTTCATTCCTCCGTGACATAATATTTTTGAAGCATAAAAAAAAAGCAGCAGTGCTTGCAGATTGGACCATCTTCTTCCCTGTCTCTATCATACCTCAGTATATTCCATAAATCGCATAAAGCCAAACAAAATTAGTTACAGGCTATCACCTTGGACTTGGGGATTTCCTCATGTGTAGGTACCTTGTGTAATCCTAGCTTGTTTAGTTAGTCTACTTGTTCAAACATTTAAGAATGTTACTATTACTACTACGACTACCTTGGAGTAGTAATAAGTTGGGTTGAAGGCTCATTTCCTGAGGGAATTAGTGAAAATGTGATTTGCCTTGTTCTGAAAGTTAATCATCGATCCGGAGATTATCCTCAGTATTGGCCTATTAGTCTCTGTAACGCCACTAACAAGGTGATAACAAATACTTCGATGCAAAGGATTCATCCAGTAGAGGACATTGCCAGGGGGACCCCTTGCCCTTTATCTCTTCATTATTTGCATGGAAGGCTGTGCGTGCTGACCGTCTTGCCAATTAAAGTTAGGAGCCACGTTTGATTCTGATTTTGTTGCTTATCATCTTCCTTTGGATTGTACGCTGATGAAATGGGGTTTACTTGTAATTGCAGGTGTTCTTGCCTGCTTATTGGTAACCGAAAAATGACACTTTGTCATTAACTAAAGGATCAATGAGGACTTTGCTTCTCCATCATCGAATTAGGATGAATTTGTAAATTTTCAAACAAAAAGAAATTTTATATTATCCATAATCGTTTTGTCATTTGTCATTTGACATAAAACCTAAGAATGAAAAAAGAAAAAGAATTTTTCAAAATTTGTTTGAGAGGTATCAGAATTTTTCAATATGATCAAGAATCATCTAAATGAATGACATAAACACACATAAAAGCAGCACATGTCACATTCTGACATGTCCCTGTTAAAGCTCAGTGGACCATCTGATGCTAACAATGGATATAATAAATGAGCAAACCGGTCGATTTGATGCACTTTCATTTGTATGGCACAGCCCACAGGGAATTACCATTGTACCTTTTGGGTAGGGAAGGGTGCGGCAACCCCATGAAACATGGAAACCATTCCTGTGCAAACTGCAAATGCCATGGAAACTACCCACTGAAAAAAGGCTCTGGTGAACATGACGTACAACACTGATAAATAAATGCCTTTTATCAGTGAACTGAAAAACCTTTTAAATGCATTCCCAACCTTATGCCTTGTAATTCGCATGTCCTTGAAAATCGTGCCCCATCTATGCAAGTTGATAGTTAAATTCAATTTGACATTTTTTTATATATCAAACTGTAGTAAAAAAAAACGTGAATGAATTTTTAATTTTTAATTTTTTTTATAAAAATGTTTCTTTCTAAGAATAAGGAGAGAAGTTGAGAAAACAGAAGTAAGGGAAGTGCATGGGGTGAGTTAGCAGGAGTCAAGTGCCGCTATGACATTGGCTGCCACAAGGCGGTTGCCATCAAAAGAAAAATGGGGCCTTTCGGGTTCGAGATATCGGACCCAATTCAACAAATAATGGGTTCTTTTATTTTTTGTTTTCTTGCACATGACTCATCAGATTGGTCACAAACAAAAGCCATTAACAAAAGGGAAAATCCTTCTGAAAAAAATCTCACCCACAAAACCATTACACGACTATCCTACAACCCAGTTACCCATCAACCTTTTCCCCCGTGGGGTCCAGTTTAAGTTGTCATTTTCTGAGCCCACAATTATGATTTTGCATGGTTTCAACTGTGCGATCTCTCTCTCTTTTAATACCATTTGACTTATGCCTCATCACATGGCCATTTTTTGTTTTTTTTTCTTGTGGGGTCTGCTCAAATTCAAAGAATTTTGGTGATTGTGCTTTTTTTTTTTTTTTTTACTTACGTTGTTTGGCCTTTCCAACTATTGGTTGTTAGATGACTTTGTCTTTTTTTCTCTATTTAACTATTTACCAAAAAAATGCTGGAAACTTTAGGTTCAAGTTTTGATATACTTGTTAGGAAAGGGTTTCCTTTTTCTTGCAGCATAATCACACCCAACTAGCTAGGAATTTGAATCGAATTGGACCCAAATTTTCATTCTCTTCAGCTCCATTTGGTGGATACTGGGTTGTTCCAGTAATTGCCTCTTAAAGGGGACCGCTATCTCTCTCATGGCTTCCAAAAAAAAAAAAAAGGCCAGCGAATCGGCTGGTAGTGACAGACAGAATTACCTAACACACGCTTTAAGTTTTGGGTCCTCGTTATCAACTATTACAGGATCATTCAATTGATTCGGGCCAAGAATCGAGTTTCAATTGCTTTAATTATTGATTAATTTGTCTCTTAATCAAATTCTGGTCTGTTTCAAGGATATAATTTCGAAGTTAATCAAATATTTTTAATGAAATAACGTAAAATGTAGGATGTCAAGTGTCAACGCTAAATGAATTTTATTTTTTCCACATTATGAAGAAAGGCCATGAACGTGAGCACCAATAATCTATCCACATGCCTTCATGAAGTCATATCACTCTCACTTTTGGGAGTGGCCTCGTTTCACTTAGGTCAACCTACTTGCACATGTATTTTTTTTTGGGATATATCTCGTTTAATCAAGTTACCAACATCAATTGGCAAAAAAAAAAAAAAAAAATCAACATCATCCTTTTTTTTTTTTCTTAGGATATAATCATCGAATCTAGCACATCAACTTCCTAGGTTCAAAGATCAACCGACCATATTCTAAATAAACCCTTTTGTTAAAATTTAATTCTTTGCATTTCAATTTATTGCTACTTATTGTGTTTTTTTCTTTTCTTGTTTACTCATATTATCTATGCTTTATTGTGAACAACATAATAATGGCAATAATAATAGACAATTTATTGAAAGCGGAAGCAGAGAATAGTTAATAATTAGAGAGAAAATTAAAGAAAAGGAGAGCAAATGGCAGCCATGTTACTTAAATTATCATTATTATTAGTATAGCTGGAGAATCTAATTGATGTGCATCTTCTTTTCAGCTTTTTAGATTTTAATAACATGCATTACTCTTTCCTAATTCATTTCCCCACCGGAAATTAGAATCAACAATCACAATTTTCCAAGCTCCTAACTTTGCTTTGCTCTCTTTTTTCTGCATCCCCACAGGGCATAAATGGACCTCAAATTTCCTAATTCGTAAACCCCCTAACTTTCTATTTCTTTTCAATTGACCCCAAAAAATACAAGGCTAAATCAAAAATAAAATATAATTTCTTATTTTTGTCTTTTTTATCATTTTCTCATTTATGTCCTTTTCTTCTAATTAATTCCCTACACAGTCCCCACTGGCCACTCCCCTCCCATGTGTGCTTCACTCAAAAAATCAAAACTCTAACCTTTCCTCTCATAAAACATAAATAAATAACAAGGTTCTGACCTTTTCACTCTATCTTCTTTTTTTCTACCAAAGAAATGGAGAGCCAAAAAGCTGTCGACAAAGAAGCCAAAAATCTATCACCATGCAGCAGTGGAAGAAGGAGCAACACAAGCAGCCATTCAAGTTCACCTGAATTCGAGTTCTGGATGCTCCGAAACCCGTCTTTTCCTCAGCCCGATCTCATCTGCGCTGATGAACTCTTCGCTAACGGCGTTCTTCTTCCTCTCCATCTCTTACCCAACAAACAACCCGAAGAGAACCCACAAGCCGACCCAAATCCACCCGCATCAGAACCTCCTTTACCCGACCTAGAATCCCAACCTGGCCCTCCTATAACATCGGAGCCAGTTCCTGTCTTGTCAGCTTCGAAACGGTGGAGAGATATTTTTAAGAAAGAAAAGGGCAAAAACGGAACAAAAAATCCAGAAGACAAGGATAAAGAGAAGAAAAAAGAGAAGAAGAGTCAGAGCCAAAGCGGAGCGAGTCCAGCTGAGTTGAATATAAATATTTGGCCTTTTTCGAGGAGCAAGTCGGCAGGTACCAGCGGGACTCGACCCAGGATGCCTTCCGGTGCGGCGGGCACCCGGAAGGTAAGTAGCGCTCCGTGTTCCCGAAGCAACTCGGCTGGTGAATCCAAGTCTAGAAAGTGGCCGAGCAGCCCCAGTCGGGCAGGGGTTCACTTGGGCCGAAGCAGCCCAGTTTGGCAGGTTCGGCGTGGAAGTTCCGGTGCTAAGAACCTCGACATTTTGGCTCGGAGTGCTGAAAAGAGTAGCGGTAAGAAAGAAGTTACCGAAACTCGTCGCGGTAAAATTGGTAACGCAGGCAACGGTAACAAATCCAAGGTTTTGAACATGAACGTGCCAATGTGTATCGGGTATAGGCATCATTTGAGCTGTAGAACCGATGAAAATAGTGCCACACTTGCCGCTATAAGCACCGAGAGCAACGGTGGCAGCGGGGGAAATGGTAGAAGCACGGGCCCTAACGTTGGAAGTGGTAGTAATTTTTTTAACCTGCGCAATCTTTTCATTAAGAAAGTTCATTAAGTGTGTTAATCATTATAGTAATTTTGTTACTCATCCTTTTCTTGTGTAAACAGAAATTTACCCGTAATTTGTTAAATACTACTATCAATTATTGTGTATTTTAACTAGAGATGTAGATTTTTGGCACTCGGAAAAGTTGCTGCAGTTTTTTTGTTGGCTTTGTACATTTTGAAATTCGCCTCCCGTATTTTTCTGGCTTAAAAATTCTGTTCTGCTACTACTAGTACTAGTACTAATGGCAGACTTCAAGATTCTCGTGGCAACCGCCCTGTATCCGATTTATAGTATAAAATATTAAATTTTATATATTTATATTATATTTTACATAAAAATTTATATATTATAATTCATATAATATAAAATAAAATATATATTTTTTATTTTATTAAATTTATATATAATTAGTATAAAAATTCGTATTATATTTAATCATATTATTATATTATCTTTTAAATTATTAATCTTACTCATATCACATTCAAAAGAAGGGAAGGGGGGAAATGGAAATAAGATTTCACTTTCATTCTAACAAAGGAGTCTGATTCTTAATACAGACACGCGTTAAGGACTTGAAATTGAATAAAAAGACGTTTAATAATCAATGTATGGATTTTTTTTTTTTTTTTTAAATGAGAACCAACCAAACCAAGCATCTTAGTACCAACAACGTTATCTACACCTATAATTTAGCAGTAAAAAAACAAATCCACATACTAATAATCAATACAACTTTCTCGGACCAAACACCCCACCCCCTTCATTTTGTTTAGGTGCCAAAAAGAATAATCATTTCATCATCTTGTTACATTGTCCCATATTACATACAAAAAAAAAAGGTTCCTTTTAAGTAAAATATAATAAAGTAATATAAGGATTCTTTTATTGTAAAAATTGTTCTTAGGAGATTGGGTAATTACTTTTATAAGGCCGACTGAGCCCAACAGCTAACTAATGAAGCCCAAGTTTGAAACTGGATCAGACAAAACTGCCTCCCCTAAACACCGGGTTTAATGAACATAACAGAAACTGCTCATTGGTAAATTAAAGCATGTATGATTTATATTATATAGTGTATGCATGTCTTCAATAGTTTAATTAGTCTATGATCATGTTTGGTGTATAAGATGATAAGTAAGATAAAATGATAATTATCTTATATTATATTTGGTTTGTATTTAACGAAAGATATAGAATTATAAGGAAGATTAATTATTTTCTTAATATAAAATGATTCAATTCTTTTAAAGTGAAGAAGATTATTTTTAATATATGAGATAAAACTTATATGTTCTGTTATATCCCTTAAAAATTGCATCAATAATTTAAATTATATAAACTTCTAGAACAGATTAATTTAACTAGTAAATAATTTATCTTATCATAATCCTTTTATAATCATTTTATATATTAAATATAAGATAGGAGAACATTATTTAATCAAATCATATTACTAATATTATCTTATTTTATCTTATCATAATATTGTGTATCAATTTACGTATATACTATATATGTAAATTTGTTCCTGTTATTATGACATAAAATTAGTTATTACTATATTTAGTTTTCTAATAATGAGGAATTTTGGATGGAGAGGACCAAAATAGTTTTTTTTTTTTTTTTTATCATGATGAGTTGTTGATTTTCTTTAAATAAGTGTAGAAAGTAAAATTTTTCTCAAATGCATTAGTAAATAGAAGTTGAAGTTAGAGTAAATCAGAAATTAAAAAAATTTCTTAAGAAAAGGGTTTGGCCCAAATAAATTCCTTTGGGCTTTGGTTGACTAATATATTTGGGTAAATACCATTCAAGAAGGTGAAATATACAAAGTTTAATTAAATGTAGCGAATGTGAGTGAGTGAGTCTATTCCATTTCAAATTTCCGCAATGATAAAAATAAAAATAAAAAGAATAAAACGTGTCCATCCGGGCCTAGTCCACGTGTCAATAGACAAAATGACGCAAACTCTCCTTCCTTATAGCTCAAGCCAGCTAAAGAATCGTCCCTTCACTTGATCTCTATCCAAACTTTATTCTCAATCATAGAAAACAGAATCAGACAAAACCCATGGCCTCACGTGACAAGAAACCTGCGAAGCCGTCAAGCAGCCGAACCGGCGGCATACGCACGCTCTCGGATCTGAACAGGCGGTCTGGACCCGATTCCGACAGCGATTCCGATAGCCCCCAGGAGTATTACACCGGCGGCGAGAAAAGGTCCTCTCTTTTTCCTTATTTTTTTTTAATTTCATTCCAATTCTTTCTTCTTAATTTAATATATACCTATATGAATTTATTATTATCATCGAATTGTTTGATTGTTTATCGAGGAAATTTAAAGGGTGATTGGTTATTAAAGTTCTAAGTTTGATTCAGACGGAGTTTGAAAATGAATTTGAAGATTGCAAGAAAAAGGGGAAGTTTTGGCTTTTGTTTTTGGAATTATACTGTGGAATTAGCGGTGATTTTTGGATGAAAACTTGATTAAGAACTTAGTGGGGGAGTTTGCCACAGTAGTTTAGATCTTCACCTTGCGCTTTGGCGATATTTGGTTGGGAGACTTTAAGATGTGAGTGGGTTGGAAAGTTAGTTTTTACCAAGTTTTAACATTGCTTTTCTCATTGAAATTTAGTTTTTTATTGATAGATCACCTTTTGAAGTTCCATGAGCTGTTTACAAGTGACTTAGCTTATGAACTGTGGTCCGCTGTCGATTCTTATCTCAAAATTTTGTCAGCATCTTAAGCCTAACACACTAGTACGTGCATCTAAGAAGCTGCATTTCCCAGAGTAGCAGATTGTGTTGAATTAATCTTTTAAATACAGATTCTAAGAGTTGATAGCACATTTTTACTTTAGTGCTAGAAGCGAGATATAGAATTTCAAGAAGGTTATTGATAAGTCAGCTTGCCATGTTAAGGCAGTTGTGCTGGTATGAACTATTTTGCTTTGAGTATGTCTGTCATTACTCATTGGCTATTGTTCTTGAAGGCATTTCTTGTTAGTCTATGTGCTTCACTTTGTGCTTAGACAGTTTTATTGTACTAGTATTGTGCTTAACTGGAAGAACTGGACAAAGATCCTCTCTCTTTCTTAAATGATGCTAGTTTGAGCTTTTATGCATGGAGTGCAAGTTGAATAGCTTCTGGGACAGGCATTCAAAAAGGTTTTGTTAGAGAAATTTTGGTGAACCATGTATAATTTTTGTCTCGTTAGAATAAGCACATACTAGCTTGTTTACTGGCACACAGAAGCATACATACTATTTGTAGCTTTTTTTTTTCTGCCAAAAATTCACCACATGCAAATTTTAACCTTGTTGATGCAGTATTTGCATGTAATTTGATTTTTAAACAATTTTGATAAGTTTTCATTCAAAAGTTTGTGTTATTTGCTGCCTTTAGGCAATATATAATTATATTCTCATATTGATAGTACTGGAATGTCTATAGTGCTGGATATTTGGATGTATTTACAGTTTAAATACGAGCTGTTATGTTTGATCTGCACATCGCTGTGAGGCCTGGTAACAGGTTGATTTATCAATACACTTTCATCATTCTATTTATCATTGATGAAAACATTTACTTTTAAATGTTAAGTTTTCTCAAAGAGTTCACCTAAAGAAATTACCAACCCTGGAATTCAATATGATGAAATGTTTAAGAATAATCAACTATAACTCTAATTTTTGCAGTGGCATGCTTGTTCAAGATCCTTTAAAGAATAATGATGTAGATGAGATTTTCAATCAAGCTAGGCAACTAGGAGCTGTAGAAGGGCCTCTCGAACATCTTCATTCATCATCAAGTTCAACAAGTTTTACTGGAACCGGTAGATTACTCTCAGGGGAAACTGTACCTTCTGCACCCCAGCAGCCTGAGGCTGTTATTCACAACATAGTTTTCTGGACCAACGGTTTCACTGTAAATGATGGCCCTCTGAGGAGGTTGGATGACCCTGAAAATGCACCTTTCTTAGAGGTAATTGCTATTATGATTTAACACCTTTGAAAGAAATAGAATTAAAGAAGAGAAATAAAGTGACAGGTGTTATTGGAGGTATATGATTTTTGTACATCTTTTGGAGTGAATACTGAGAAGTTCTATAACTGCAATTACTAAGTTTGGCCTTCTGCATTCATGTCTTTTCCATTTCATGTATCTTGCAAACAGGTGTTTCATTCTTCATTCTATATGTTTTCCGTTTTTTATGAGTGAATTAATTGTTATGTTTCAGAATGCTTTTTCTTGTTTTATTAACAACTTGGTTGCATCTCAATGCAGAGCATAAAAAAGTCTGAGTGTCCTAAAGAGCTTGAACCTGCTGATAGAAGGTCTGCTGTTCATGTCAATCTAATAAAGAGGGACGAGAAATGCCCTGTGAGTCTCTCTCTCTTGTTAGCATTATATTTGTCTGTAAGGTTGTAACTTGTAGAATTTAGAAAGTGATTGAAAGGGCCTTCTTAAAAAATGCATCTGTCTTCTTTTAACACACATTCACAGCCAACTGACTGAGTCTTGAAGTCCATTTGAGGATATCACTGCTATGTTTGTCTTATTGTAGGAACCAGAGAAGAAGCGACAGGCAGCATTTCAGGGTGTAGGAAGAACTCTTGGTAGCAGCAGTAGTTCGGCAGCTCCTGAACCAACTATCAGTTCCACTCCTCTCAACACTGCTCCTAACCCTTCTCCTGGATTGGTTGTGGATGAAACTTTACCATCAACCTCAATTCAGCTTAGGTTGGCTGATGGCACTCGCATGATAGCCCACTTCAATTTCCACCATACAGTTGATGACATCCGTTCTTTCATCAATGCATCTAGACCGAGGAGTGCAACAAATTATCAATTGCAGATAATGGGATTCCCTCCTAAACTTCTAACTGATCCAACCCAAACCATAGAACAGGCAGGCCTTTCCAATTCCGTGGTAATCCAGAAATTCTAGCTCGGGCTCCAGGGAATGTGTCTATCTAGTCATTACTGCAGCTGCTTATTGTACCAATTGAAAAAGTTTCCATTAACTTAAAACGATTATGAACCGTTACTATATACGGGAAGAAGGTTTTTATGGCTGATTCTTGTTAAACGGGATTGAATTATTGGTTGATTCTTTTTTTTCCTTTCATTGTGCTTGAACCTAATAAGCGTC